TTCTGGAGGTTCTGAAGGCCCTGGCTTAATCCCCACTTCTGGCACCACATCTTCTCCAGCCTCCTCATTGTCTGACTCGGGTGCCTGCTGCACAGGCTGCTGGCGCAGCACCACACCAGCCTCCTCGCTGTCGGAATCAGCTACTATCTGCACAGGCCGCTGACGGGCCACAACAATCTTCTGTACAGTTCTTTGTCTTAAAAGCCTGGTGTTTCACGCTCTGCAGATCTAATATTCGCTGTAGCTGTGACTTGTTGGCACTGAGCATGGCTTTTGAGGAACGCGGTCGGCTTAAAATGGCCATCACCTCTCCTCTTGCCTTCCTAATTTAGTAATGCGACTTCTGGCAAGGAAGGTCTTTTGCCTAAGATGCAACAGCCAAGATCAAAGGGAAGGGGCTTTGATCTCATGTCTGCCATTTTGACTTTTTGGACCCCCTCCCCCCTGTTTTTGCTTTTCCTTGAAGATGTTTCGCTTCTCATCCAAGAAGCTTCTTCAGCTTTGATTTTTCTTTGAAGACCTTTCGCTTCTCATCCAAGAAAGCTTCTTGAGCTCTCATTCAGCTCCAGCAGAGCTGAAGAAGCTTTTTGGATGAGAAGCAAAATGTCTTCAAAGACCAAAAAAAACCCAGAAAGTCCAGATGCCTCTTGAAAAAAAGCACCTTCAGGATGCTTAAATCAGTAAATATTCTTGTTTTGATGCTTCGTTTCTAGAAACGGCCCAGAAATCTCTTGTTCTCCTTTCTTTTAAATCCCAAAAGAAAATAAAACCGAGTCTGGATTATGAAAATATTTAAAGAGACCTTGTTCCTTATAATTAATAAGTGCCAAAACTCATCTGCCTAATCTGGATGTCCAGATATTTTACAGTCTAGTTCCAATCACCTAAAATAAATCCTAACCATCATGTTTCGAAAACATTCTTTTGACTCTGGATAAAAAGTGACTTAATGTTATTGAGATTGTTTGTATGAACACTTGGATTTTATTAGACAGAACTACGATGCGTTGCTTTATACAACTTTCTGTTAAACTGTTAAACATATTGTGCAAAATTGCCTGTGACGTGTGTTCTCCGATTCCCGATTCTCAGGGATTCCTTAGAAAGAATCCGGATTGAGTCGGTCATCTGCACCTCTATAACTGTCTGGTTTGGTTCTGCAACCCAACAAGACAGACACAGACTTCAGAGGATAATCAGAGTTGCAGAAAAAACAATGGCTGCCAACCTGCCTTCCATGGAGGATCTACATTGCACGAGTCAAAAAGGGGGCTGTGAAAATATTTACAGACCCCTCACATCCTGGACATAAACTGTTTCAACCCCTACTCTCAAAACGATGCTATAGAGCACTGCAGACCAGAACAATCACACAATCACAATCACCGAATACCATCACTCTGCTAAACAAAGAATTCCCTCAACACTGTCAAACTAGTTACTAAGTCTGCACTACTATTAATCTTCTCATCGTTCCCACCACCCATCTCCCTCCGCTTATGACTGTATGACTGTAACTTTGTTGCTTGTATCCTTACAATTTATATTGATATTGTTTCCAGATTGTTTATTATTTACCCTATGACAATCATTAAGTGTTGTACCTTAGGATTCTTGACAAATATATCTTGTCTTTTTATGTACACCGAGAGAGTATGCACCAAGACGAATTCCTGTGTGTCCAATCACACTTGGCCAATAAAAAAATTCTATTCTATTCTAAGAAGCAACTCCAGAGACGATCACCTGGATAGCTGAATTGGACATCCAGTTATGCGGCCACTGCCAATACCCCCATAGAAGTTTTGTATATAATTACATGGATTGTGTATATATGTTTACCTCTCTTTTGTCACGTTCTCTTCATACACTAACTAATAATAATAATTATGCATTGCAAGCTGGTCCTATGTATTTATTAGCTGTGGCTAAGGCACTACCCTTCTAATTTTTTTTTAAAAAATTAAATTCTTATATAGTAGTAGGGGCCGAGAGCCAGTTCAGTGTGGCGGTTAAGGCATTGGGCAGGAACTGAGAGAAATGAGTTCTATTCTCATCGGAGGCAGGAAGCCAGCTGGGTGGCCTTGGGCCAGTCATTCTCCCTTAGCCCTGGGAAAGAAAGCAATGGCAAAGCTTCTGAAAAGCCTTGCCAAAAAAGCTGCAGACTTATCCAGGCGTAAAAAAACAAAACAAAAACCAACCTGGCCTCAAGGCACAAAAAGCAAACAAACAAAGATATATCAATATTTAATCCAACTATTGCTCTTCAACAGAATACAATTCACAGAAGTAACAGGGGGCTCCGCTGTTGAATAAAATCGGTTTAAAATCTACCGTGCAAAATTCGAAGCTTCTATCATGCTGCTCCTAAAATGTTGCTACGGAAGTGATTTCCAAAGTGTCTTGAAGGAGACCAGGTTCTCTTGTGCTTGTGTGTGCGTGCGTGTGTGTGTGTGTGTGTGTACTCTCTCGTGTGCAACACCAGCCGAGCCTCACTTTTACATCCAAGCATCTTGCCTTTTTTCCCGGATTTCTGAAGATTTTCCCACCTGGAACCAATCATCCTGGAGTGCAGGAAGGTGGAGGAAAAGGCGTGGAAGCTGGCACCCCTTTAGAATAGAATAACAGAGTTGGAAGGGACCTTGGAGATCTTCTAGTCCAACCCCAGGCAGGAAACCCTACACCACTTCAGACAAATGGTTATCCAACATCTTCTTAAAAACTTCCAGCGTTGGAGCATTTACAACTTCTGGAGGCAAGTTGTTCCATTGATTAATTGTTCTCATTGTCAGGACAATTCTCCTTAATTCTAGGTTTCTTATCTCCTTGATTAGTTTCCACCCATTACTTCTTGTCCTGCCCTCGGGTGCTTTGGAGAATAGCTTGACCTCCTCTTCTTTGTGGCAGCCCCAAGATGATGATGATGATGATGATGATGATGATGATGATGATGATGATTTATTGGATTTATATGCCGCCCTCTCTCCAAAGGACTCAGGCCGGCTCACATCCAACGAACCAATCCCAATAAATACGAATTAAAACAGACTAAAACCAATTTAAAACAGTAGACCCCATCAGTCCTGGCTAGGGCGTTTAAACAGCCAGGTCTTAAGCTCACGGCGGAAGGTACGAGATACTGGAACACTGCTATCATGTCTCCCCTACTCCTTCTTTTCCTTAAACTAGACATACCCAGTTCCAGTCGCGGGGAGTTCCCGAGGTGGTGGTGTGGGGGAGGAAGGCAGGGAAGGCGGGAGGGTTCCCCCTCCACCCCCAAGTGCGGGATTCTCTCCCCCAAGGATGGCAGCCAAGCAACTTTCCCCCCCCCTCTGGCTGTTGCTGCGTCTGCCGGGGCGCGCAAGGAACCCACCGTTCCTCCGCGCAAGGGCGCCCTTGGCAGCCGGGCTGCAGCGGGCGGAGCAGAAGCGCGTTTGAAGTTCGCTCCGCCGCCGCCAGTGGCTCTGGATTGGGCCGGCCAGCTCGTTTGCATTGACGCCACTAAAGGCTGGAGGTCAGGCCTTGCGGGGACTTTTATTGGCTTGCGCCGCCGCCCGCGCCGATGCTGCGCCCGCCGCGGCTGTCAAACTCCGGAGCGGACTGGCGAGCTTGCTAGAGAGCGAGCGAAGGAGGCTGGAAGGGGGCCGCCCGCTGAACGGCCCCGGGGCTCTTTCTCCTTTGGGGCGGGCAGCAGAAGCAGAAGCAGAAGCAGAAGCAGGAGACGGAGCCGCAGCCGGGACCGGAGCCGCAATAGCAACAGCAACATCAACAGCCCTGCAAAAGCCAGAGAGCCCAAGCCTCCCCGAAGAGCGCCAGGAGCCGCCGGTTGCGCCCTTGTTGGGATCCGCGCCTCCGCCTCGTTTGGACACCGAGCAAGCCCCCCTTTTTTTTGCCTCGCCATTTTAATTCATTCCGCAGCAGATCGGACGCCCCCTCCCCTCCCTGCCGAGACTTACTTCCCTCCCTCCCTCCCTCCCTCCTTCCTTCCTTCCCCCCCCCCTCCCCAAAATCCGGGGCTCGGATTTGGCAAGACTTTTTTTTTTCTGGGGGGGAGGGGGGGGGGGGCGGGGGTGGGAGGAAGGTTTGCCAAGAGCGCAGAGCGATGGTGCTTTGGGTAGAAGAGGCGGCGACGGTGGGGTTGGGGGTGGTGGTGGCGGCGGGGGGGTCCGCCCCCGCCGATCAGACCTGCTTCTTTGGATCTGGAGCCTTCTAAAGTTTAGCGTCCCCCCTTTTTTTTAAAAATTCCCCCACTCTGCCCCCCCCCCTTTCTGCGTTTCCCTCCCCTCCACCATCCCTCCTGTCTTCTCTTTTGGACGGCTGCTGTCCCCCTTTTCTCCTCCCCCCTCTGTCTTCTCTCCCCCTCCCCTCTTTTTTTTGGAGGGGAGGGCGCGCAACTGGGGGGGGGCGGCACATCTGGAATCCCCAGCCCCAGGACCTGGCTTAGAGGTGCGGTGGAAGGGAAACCCGCTTTGGGAAAGAACGTGTGAATGCGCTTTCCCGGCTCCCGGGAGTGGGGGTGGTTTGCAAGCAAGAGCCGCGGTGGGGAAGGGCAGGGAGGGAGGGAGAGAGAGAGGGGGGTGGGTGGGAGGCGAGGGTCTGGCCGCGGGGATGACTCTGATGATTCGGACGGGCGCTTGATGAAGGCGGGAGCTTAACCCCGGAGGGGGGGGCTGCTGCCCTCCACCCCCTCCTAGCCCAGCTGGGGAGCCACGTTGAGGAGGTTTGGAAAGAGGGGAGTAGGGGAGGGCTGCCTATGTGCGCAGGGAGAGCGAGTGGGGGGGCAAGGAGGGGGGAGAGGTGTGCCAGGCCAGGTGTTGGACTGGGGGCGGTGGGTGCAGAGTTAAGGGCGCCCCTTCTTCCCTACCCTTCCTTTTCATTGCGCGAGCTCCATTGAGCCCCTTCCCCAAAGCGGACTAGAAGATCTATTTGCAAAAAGAGAGGGAGAGAAAGGGGAGGGGGGGGTTCTGGGGGAAGCGCCGCCCAGAAGTGATGAGTCTCCTCCCCTCCTCTTAATCCCCCCCCAACCCAAACCTTGGGGAGAGGGTGGTGGGTGGGTGGGGGAGCATTTTCCCCTCTCCCCTTTTGCGTGGAGGGGAGAGGGGGCAAAAAGAAAAGAAGAAAAAAAAAAGAGAGAGAGAATGTCATAATTTAAGTGCACAGCCGGAATTTTCAAGCCCCCTCTCATCTACCTCGCCGCACGCCCGCTGCGCGCTTTTCAGATCGAGGGACCTCCGGATTTGGTTTGGAGGCTCCAAGAACGATGTTTCTCCGGATTTGGGGGGCCGGGCCTGAGACACAGCCGGCGGTGTGGATGGGGACCCTGGACCCTTCAGCAGAAACGGCCTATTATTAACCCCTTTTGGAAGGGGAAAAAAAAAACCAATAAAAAGGACAACGTTCCCAAGCGAGGGGAAGGAAGAAAAAAAAAAAAAGAGAAAGAAATAACCTTGAGATCTAGCGGCTTGGAAAAAAAACAAAACGCAAAGAAAAAAAAAACGCCATGGGTTGCGCTCCCAGCATTCATATATCTGACAGTCGGGTGGTTTACCACAGCAACAAAGATCCCGAGGACTCCAATTCGTCCCAGCAAGGCAACCCCGTCCCTGGATTATTCATTAAATCTTCCAACGCCACCTCGTATAAGTTGAGAACCAACCTAACGAAAAAGGACTCGCGGGACAACATGGAGGCGGAATCGAGGACCAAGAGATCCAGCGTGAAGGTAAGGAGAGTTTTAAATTCGGCCTGTGATTTAATTATTTTAATCTGCTTTGAAATTCTATTTTGGACATGGTTTTTTTATTATGGCTGTTCACCGCCCCTGAGTCCTTCGGGAGAAGGGCGGTATATAAATTAAATTAAATTAAATAAAATAAATAAATAATGGGGGGAAAAAAGAAAAAAAACACACACAAAAAACACACAAAACGGTGTGCCCTTTGGGAATCTGGGGACCATGTTGTGGTTGGTGGGGTGATGAGAAGAACTTTGTGAAGTCCACCAAGACTTGACGCACCAAACAAGTCACTGGCCCCTGGTGAGGACCGATTTTAAGCTGTCTTGGTTAAATGCTGTCTGTCGGTTGTAGCTGGTGAGTTGCCAGTTTCATAAGCGTTACTCTTTTTTTCTTTTTTCTTTTAAAAAAATAAATGATTTCCTAGGTCTCTCTCTCTCTCTCTTCCCTTTCCCCCTTTTCCTCTTCTGTGGATTTTGGATCAGTCTAAGAAAGAGAATTCGGATTTATTTGGAATATACAGATCACTCTCAGTGCTGTCCCTATCCCCCATCTACCCCCACCTCAAACGTCACCTTTGGCCTGTAGGTGTGCATCAGCCAATATTTTATTTTTTATTATTTATTTGTCGAGTACGTATTAGATAATGTATATAAGTATAAGCGTGGATTGAATGCATAAAATGAATGCAATTCAAGGGAACATTGTTGCAAAATCAGTGCAAAATCAGTGTGGAAGCCAGAGTTAAGGGAGCTATGTGGTTTCCCTTTCTGCCTCCTCTTGGAACTTTTGTTTGCAGGAGTGAAAGTTTGTTTTGAAACCCCTTCCAAGCAGAAACAGAATAGGAACCTTGACACAATAATGTTGCTTTTTCTTTGCTTTTCTTTTTTTTTTTTATGTACCCATACAGGATTCCAGCTTTTTATGAAGGTCTGCAAAAGATTTATGGGTATTTCCCTGGGCTGATTTAAGAAACCAAATATTACAGGAGGATAAATCATGGGAAGTTAAAACAAATGATTTAAAAGTTGATTTTTCCCCCCCTTCTCCTTCTTTAGAATGGAGGAAATTCTTTGGCCTTTGGACTATGGATTACTGATCAAAGAAGCTGACGGATTTGCATATGAAGTCCGCAAAACCTTTCAGGAATAGGATGCTATATAATTTGCACACAAATGCGTTTATGACAGGTGAAAGGTGGCTCAAAATGGAGGCAGATCAATGCACGCCATTGCCAAAATAATAATTTAAAAAATAATAATTCTAGAAACGTTGGATTCAAAATTTAAAATGTAGGTGCCCCTGTATAGTTGGATAAAATTGAATTAGTTTTATTTTGCTTCGTTTCTATCTCACATTGTCATCAAGTGGGCTAGGGTTGCAGGTATAGTTTTCTTGCTGTTCCCCATTCTTTGTAGTTTTGTTTTACAACACTCCTTTGAGGTAGGACTGGCTGAGATAGAAAATGGCTTTTGATCTTCCAGTGGTACATTAAGGCCAAGGCAATGTTTTGTGTGCTGCGCTAAAACTGTCCCAAATGTGCAGATGAAAACTAAATGAATTCCTAATCTTTTAGTCCAGCTTGATTCACTTGTCCATTTATAGCTAGTTCTCGACTTACGACCACGACGACTTTCTGTTGCTGAGTGAGACATTGGTTCAGTCAATTTTGCCCCGTTTTACAACCTTTCTTGCCACAGTTGTTAAGTGAATCCATGCAGTTGCTAAATTTAGTAACACGGATGCTAAGTGAATCAGGCCGTTGACTTTGCTTGTGAGAAGGTCACAAAAGGGGGTCACATGACCTCGGGAAACTGCAACCGTCATAAATGTGAGTCAGTTGCCAAGTGTCCAGATTTTGACCACGTGACCAAGGAAATATTGCAACGGTTGTAAGTGTGAAAAATGGTCATAAGTTACTTTTTTCAGTGTCATCGTCGTAACTTGGTCACTAAATGAACTGTTGTAAGTTGAGGACCACCTGTATATAAACCCCGACTTTCAGGGGAGGTTTGGGGGTTTAGATGGAGATGTAACCTGAGCCAGAACTTAGACTTAAAGAGTCAGGTTGTGACAAACAGAACAAGGGCAAAAGTACTGAGAATATTTATTTTATTCCTATTTATGAATCAAGGTCTTTTGAATTTGGATGTTGCACGATCTGGAACAATTTATGTAGCATTGTTTCCCATTTCTTGAATGCTATGGCATTATCATTTCAATTCACAGTACGCTATTGAGTTTTCATCTTTACGTAGGAGTTCACTCAAAAAGATTTCAAATGCATATCAAGACAAAAAAGGGCATTTTTTTATTGAAGGAAACAATCACAGGCCATTCAAAAGACAATTAAATGAGGGTTAATGGATGTCTTGAAAATATTACGAAGAACTCCAGAAGTTGTGGGTGCTCCATCATTGGAGGTTTTCAAGAAGAGATCGGATAACTATTTGTCTGAATTGGTATAGGGCCGTGATGGCGAACCTATGGTACGCGTGCCACAGGTGGCACACGGAGGCATATCGGTGGGCACGTGAGCTCAGCTGATTTTCGGGCCTTCTGGGCCCACTGGAAGTAGGGAAACAGGCTGTTTCTGGCCTCCCGGAGGGCCTGGGTGGGTGGAGAAGGCCTGCTTTTCAGTCTCCCCAGGCTCCAGAGCCTTTCTAGGAGCCTGGGGAGAGCAAAAAAACGGGCCTTCCGGTTCCACCGGAAGTCGGCAAACAGGCTTTTTCCGGCCTCTGGAGAGCCTCCGGAGGAGTGGGGAAGGCCGTTTTCGCCCTCCCCAAACTCCTAGAAAGCCTCTGGGGGAGGGCAAAAAATGGGCCTACCGGGCCCACTGTGCCATCATGTGCCAAAAGTGGGGGGAGTGCAGCGGGGTCGTGCGCGCATGTGCGGGGCACATAGAATTATGGGTGTGGGCACGACACGTGTGTGCGCGACCCCCCCTTCCCCCTGCTTTTGGCACGCGATGGCAAAAATGTTAACCATCACTGGTATAGGGTCTCCTGCTTCTGCAGGGGGTTGGACTAGAAGACCTCCAAGGTCCCTTCCACCTCTGATATTGTGTTCTGTTATTCTGTTATAACAATTTTACCTGGCTCATTGTGCAGGAACTGCTGAAGTGTAGTAGGTTGTCGAGTTATTTGCACAGTTTGAATAGGGGTACAAATTACTTAATTTGTCACAAATGATGCATAGTTAGATGGCATTACTGCTCCGTTGCTAAGCGAGGCAGTTGTTAAGTGAGTTTTGCCCTATTTTACAATTATTATTTTTTTAAATTTGATGTATATGCCGCCCTTCTCCGGAGACTCAGGGCGGCTTACAATGCATTAAGCAATAGCCTTCATACTTTTTGTATATTTTATACAAAGTCAGCTTATTGCCCCCACAAACTGGGTCCTTTTTTTGCCACAGTTGTTAAATGAATCTGGTGAACTTGGCTCATCAGAAGGTCACTAAAAGGGATCATGTGATCCTAGGACACTGCAATCGTCATAAATATGAATCAGTTACTAAGGATCTGAATTTTGATCATATGGCCATGTGGAGGCTGCAACGGTCGTAAGTGTGAAAATTGGCCATAAGTCACTTTTTCAGTGCTGTTGTAACTTTGAACGGTCACTAAATGGACTGTTGCAAGTTGAGAATTACCTGTAACATTATAAATGTGATGCCTTACACAGAACCATATTCATCCATATTGTGACCATAGACTGATCTTCAGGTTGTGTAGTTATAATAAGAATAACAGAGTTGGAAGGGTGGGAGGGACCTTGGAGGTCTTCTAGTCCAACCCCCTGCCCAGGCAGGAAGCCCAGCTTTTATCCACTTGATTTAACTGAGGATATAGTATCAAAAATTGAGGACTTGGGGTTATATCCACTAGACTAGAGTGAACTCCTGTATGCAAAAGATTATCGTTCAAGAAAGAATTGCAAACGGAGAGTAAAATTCTACTCTCCAAATTTTATTCTCCGTTTGCAATTCTTTCTTGAACGATAATCTTTCTGTCTTCCATTTCCTATTGGATGTTTTTGGAAGAACTGCTTAAATCTGTGATACGACTGTCATCTTCATATTACTTGGCCATTAATAGCTGCCCACAAACATCTGTATTATCCAATAGAGTGAAGAATTTCCTTATCTGGCCCTGCTTTTCTTGTAAAACAATTTAAAACCAACAAGACTTTAAAAAAAAAAAGAAAGTTTTTTTTAAAAATTTAATTTATATGCCGCCCTTCTCCAGAGACTCAGGGCGGCTTACAACACGCTAAGCAATAGCCTTCATCCTTTTGTATATTTATACAAAGTCAGCTTATTGCCCCCACAAACTGGGTCCTCAATTTACCTACCTTAGAAAGGATGGAAGGCTGAGTCAACCTTGAGCCTGGCGAGATTCGAACCTGCAGTAATTGCAGGCAGCTGGTCTTAATAACAGGGTGCTTTAGACCACTGTACTACCAAGTTTGCCTTTCTTATTGGTTTAAAAACGCTTTTCTTTTTAAAACCTAATGGTGAAGTCTGTCAAGATGACCAAGGCTTTTTAAAGTTTATGTTTTTATTTGTTGCCGTGAGTCAGCGTCATCTCGTTCTCTGGATGTAGGTAATCCATAAATACTTCTGTAAAAATAAATAAAAGCTGGCAAAACATTCATCGAACGTGAAATCTTTGAAGTGCCTCTTAAGTAGATCTGAGCTCAACTCTTGTCTGGACCCTTATAGAGGAATTGTCCAGTTAGAACAGGTCAACGTTTTCTCAGCCTCTACAGCTTCCTGAGAGGTGGATTTCAGTTCCTAGAACTCCCCGATCCATGGGGTCATGGCTGAGTTGAAGTCGCCGCATCTGGAAATTGCTAAAGTTAGAAAATACTGGCCTTGTCCATATCAAGGTCGAAAACTCAACTGTGTGACATGGTACGAGGTGGCATCCTAAATTCATTATCCAATAAATAGCTTGCATTTTCTTAGGGTTGCCACCTTCTTCT